TTTAGGGTTTAGGGTTTAGGGTTTGGCAGGTGGACACACGCCGTAAACCCCAAACCGCGCAGGCCCAAACCCTAAACCCTAAACCCTCGCAGTGAGCGCCGCTGCCGCGGCTGGCCTGCAGCCGAGGGTTTAGGGTTTAGGGTTTAGAGCTGAATCAAGTCAGCAGCAATAGACAAATGGTCTGAAGGATAATAACGACTCAATAAACCCCCGAGGGTTTCCACAGCCTCGACGCAAACCCCCGGCAAAGTCCCCACCGCCTGAACGCAAACCCTAAACCCCAAACCCTAAACCCTAAACCCTAGGCTTCAAGCCCTAGACGCAAACCCTAAACCCTAAACCCTCGGTGGCGGGGTCAGCGCCCTCGCGCCGCAGAGGGCAAACCGACGGCCTGCTGCGGCCTCGCTGTAGCCCCCAGGGCTTAGGGTTTAGGGTTTAGGGTTTAGGGTTTAGGGTTTGGGACCTGCAAGTCTTCGGAAATGAAAATGTGGTCCAATGTGGCTTTAAAGTTCGAAACGAAATTTGTAAAAGGAAGGAGAGACTTTCCGTAGGCTTCTCTCAGGTGTACAGACACTGGAAGCTCCAGCTGCAAACCCTTCACTGCTGCTGCTGCTGCTGCTGCTGCTGGTTCTGCTGCTGCTGCTGCTGCTGGGCCGGCTTCGTCCTCTTCGTCTTCGCTGACTTGGTTATCCCCCCAGGTGTATGTGGGCGCTGCGGCAGACAAACCCTAAACCCTAAACCCTAAACCCTAGGGCTCGTGTTACGCACTTGCGGCTGTTTCTTCAAATGAGGGTTTGGCGGCTGCTGCAGCAGCAGCTACAGCTGCCGCAGCAGCTGCTGCAGCAGGTGCTACAGCTGCTGCAGCAGCTTCCAGGTCTAGGGTTTAGGGTTTAGGGTTTACCATATTGCCAGTCCTTGTGGTATGCATCAATTTTAAACTTGCTCAGCAGCTCAAAACCCCCGCTGTCTTCATCGCAGTTGAAGTCCCCGCAAAGAATTATCGAGGGTTTAGCAGCAGCAGCAGCAGCAGCAGCGCCAGGAGCAGCAGCAGCAGCAGCAGCAGCGAATGATGCCAGCAGGTGGCTCAGTACATACACCTGCAGTATACGCACGTGCTGTACACAGCAGCAGCAGCAGCAGCAGCAGCAGCAGCAGCAGCAGCAGCAGCAGAAACAAAGAGAGCTAAAATGCGGTGGCCGGAATCTCGTGAGAGAGAGCTTAACAGCAGCAATACCAGCACCAGGAGCAGTAGCAGCAGCAGCAGCAGCGGCACCAGCAGCAGCAGCAGCAGCAGCAGCAGCAGCAGCTCACGCTGGCTCGAGGATGGAAGAAAAGATGAGTATTTCCAACAGCAAAAAGTTTTTTATTTTTTTTGCTGCGGAGGCAAAGCAGCTGCAGCCCGCTGCCCAGCCGCGGCATTATTGAACCCTGCAGGCCCCAAACCCTAAACCCTAAACCCTAAACCCTAAACCCTAAACAGCGCGTTTCTTCGCGCGACTGCGCTCGTTCATGAAACGACAAACAAACAGATGAGTTAATTGCTTTGATTTAAATTAAATTAATTAATTAATTAATTTATTTATTTTAATATTTATTTATCTGTTTATTTGTTTATTTATTTATTTTAAATGCTGCAGCCTCACCAGCACTTGGGGCCATTTGCTGTCGAGGGCTTTTCTCAAATCCGCGAACGCCTCGTTTTCCTGCAGCCCCAAACCCTAAACCCTAAACCCTAAACCCTAAACCCTAGGCAGGCAACTGCCCGTTAGCAGCTTTTCCTTGGATGCGCCTTAGGGTTTAGGGTTTAGGGTTTGCAAAGGCGGCGGCAACAGGCCTACGGGAAGAACACTCTTCAACTAGGGTTTAGGGTTTAGGGTTTAGGGTTTAGGGCTCACGGCGAGCTCGGCGGAGAGTGTGAGGGTTTGCGCGTTAACCAAATCGAATTTTTCCTTTTTGAAAAATATTGCAGTGCCCTCTTTCACCCTCTGGCTGCTGCTGCTGCTGCTGCTGCTGCTGCTGCTGCTGCTGCTGCTGCTGCCATTGTTGGTGCTGCTGCTGTTGCTGCTGCTGCTGCTGCTGTTGCTGCTGCTGTGCTTCAGGGCCAAGAAGCCTTCATACTTATGAGCACCCAGCAGCAGCAGCAGCCAGCTATGGAAGCACTCAAACGAGCTGCATGCAAACCCTAAACCCTAAACCCTAAACCCTAAACCCTAGGGTACTAGAAACCCGCTTCAACGAACAAAAGAGAAATAAGTGAGTATATTAAATGAATAAATAAATTAATTAAATTAAATTAAATTAGATTAATTGAATTGAATTAAATTAAATTTAATTAATTAATTAAATTAAATAAAAAATTAATTAAAGACAAACCATTCCTGCAGGCAAATGATGTCGGCGTTCAGCTGCAGCAGCTCTCGTCCCAGCAGCGGCGCCCTGCAGCCGCAAACCCTAAACCCTAAACCCTAAACCCTAAACCCTGAAGTCAAAACCCTAAGCCAAAGGGTATAAATCATAGGAACAACGGCAGCTCACACTAAATAAGCCGAACAAGCAGCAGCAGCAACCACAGCAGCAGCAGCAGCAGCAGCAGCAGCAAGAAACAGAGCAGCAGCAGCAAGAAGCCCCAGCAACAAGAGCAGCAGGAGCAGACATGACACTACCAGCAGCAGCAGCAATATCACTGAGAGCAGCAGCACAAAAAACATTAAACGGACTCGCAGCAACAGAAGCAACAGCAGCAGCAGCAACAACAACAACTGCAGCAGCAGCAACAACAGCAGCAGCAGCAGCAGCAGCAGCAGCAGCAGCACCTGTGGTTGAATCTCCTCATAGGCGCGGGGCAGTTCGGGTAAAGAACTTCTTCTGCTTTTGCTGTTTGAGCATAACCCTCAGCAAGAATATTAAAAGAAACCACCCGAAGCACCTCCTGCTGCTGCTGCTGCTGCTCCTGCTCCTGCTGCTGCTGCTGGGCGAACTGCAGCATGCGCTGCTCCCGCCATTCGCACTTTGGCAGCTGCTGCACTTGACCCAAAGATGCCTTTTGAC